GCCTGCGCACGTTGCCCGCCGCCCACCCGCCCGGCACTCGCCCCACGTTGCCCGAGCCGCCCTCCCGCCGTCAGATTCACAAGGCGCTGCGCGGTCACCAGACCGGCGTGCGAGAGTACGAGCTCTTTGAGACCTATGTGGTGCCCGACGAGCCGCTGGCCGGCAAGGCCTTCCCGAAGGTCGGCTCGCGCCGCAGCAAGGCGCAGCGCGGGGGCGAGCGCTACGACGTGCGCTACTCGGCGGAGCCGGAGGTCGCCATGCTGCCCGTCTCGATGCTCGCCTCGGACAACTGCCCGGTCACAAACCGGCCTCGCTCGGACGGCAAGTGGATCAAGGTCGGCGAATGCCGGCCGATCGTCCCGGTCCGCCTCAGCAAGGAGGACGCCGCGATGGGCCTCCTCAAGCACATGCCCGACGTGCGCTCGCCGCCCTCCCCCGCCGCGCCGCGCCGCGCCCGCCTCGGCATCCTCCGCGCCGCGCCCGCCTCAGCATCCCTCTCCTCCCCTCGGCAGGGACGGTACCACCCCCCGAACCACAAGTCGGGCAAGGGGAAGAAGCGCGCGCGCGACACGGACGGGCAGGTCCCCTCCAAGCTGCAAGAGACGGGCCCCGACGCGGACGAGGCGCCACAGGGGCCGCGCGGGAGAGGCGAGGAGAAGCCCGGCGACGAGTGCGCTCTCCCGGCAAGGTGAGCTTGGGTCTCGTGCAACGAGCGGCCGGAGGAGGAGCTCTCGGTACGCAAGGTGAGCCTGCAGGAGAAGCCCGGGGTACCCTTCCTAGAGCCCTCCCCGCATGCCCGCCCACGTGCTCCCCCTTCCGGCAAGGTGAGCTTGGGTCTCGGAGGCGCCGCAGGGACGGCACCAGCCCCGCACAACAACACGTCCAAGGCGGGCTCCAAGTCAGACAAGGGCAAGGCGCGCGCGACGCAGGGCGTCGAAGGGGCCGAGCGACCAGCGGCCAGAAGAGGAGCTCTCGGTACGCAAGGTGAGCCGGGGCGTCAGCGCCTGTGTCTCGGAGCACGGAGGAGCCGCACCTCAAAACGGCCAACCACGGCCCACAAGGGGGACGGACGCTCTTCCGCCCGCGCGCTCGACCCGCCCGCCCACCCGTGGCACCGCTTCGACTTTCCAATCCAGTCGCGCTCCCAATACGTGAAAACACAAAGTTAGAGTTGTTACTTCAAAAAAGAATTTCACGCACATTAATTCGTCCACCTGAATCTCACAGACCGTCTGTCCTCGACCCAGCCCTAGCTTGGGATGTCCGTTTATTTATTTATTTATTTATTCTCACATACTGTCTGCCGGGGAGAGCCCCTGCATGAGCCCTGTGCGCGGCGTTGACTCACCGAGCGGCGCTCCGACTCCATCCGAGGCGCTCCTGCTAGCGCGTAGCGGAGAGGCTACGGCGAGAGAGAGGGGCTGGGGCGACGGCCGTCGGCCCGCGCCGCTCGTGTTTGGATGAAGTTTCGGTTCATCGTTCATCGAGCTTGGATCAGTTGGAGCTAGGCTCTCTCAGCTGCGCCCCTCTTCTCCTCCGCCTCTGCGCCTGTTAGACACTTCTCTATCTGGAGGATAACACGGATTATCATCTCGCCTCATCTCGCCTCATCTCGCCTCATCTCGCCTCATCTCGCCACTCGCCTCATCTCGCCTCATCTCGCCTCACCTCGCCTCATCTCGCCTCATCTCGCCTCACCTCGCCTCATCTCGCCTCACCTCGCCTCATCTCGCCTCATCTCGCCTCACCTCGCCTCATCTCGCCTCATCTCGCCTCATCGCCCCTCACCTCGCCTCACCTCGCCTCATCTCGCCTCATCTCGCCCCACATTTTTTTCTTTTCAAGACCACTCCGAGACCGACCCAAGACCGACCCGAGACCCGAGATCGACCCGAGATCGACCCGAGATCGACCCGAGATCGACCCGAGATCGACTCGAGATCGACCCGAGATCGACCCGAGATCGACCCGAGATCGACACGAGCGATCAACCCAACAATGCCCCAAAGCCCCCTCTCTGGGGGACCCCCCCTCACCCCGAGTGTCCGTGTCCTTCGCGAGTCACCGATGGGGAGCGGGGGGGGGTGCGAGATGCACAGGGGAGGCTGGGGAGGGGGGGGTCCACTCTGAAGACTGCCGACCGCGGGGGGGTTTTGTCCCACAGGGTTTTACCCTCCGCGTGAGGATCGGCGCGGCGAGGGGGTAGGTTCGAATTCGCCGCGCAACATTTCACCCCCACAGGACCCCGCCCACCCCCCCTCATGGTCCCACCTAGTACCCCAATGAGCCTTCGCACCCCCTCCTTGCGCAGGGTCCCCCACTATGTGTCGCCGTTATCGGGGCACGCTATCCTGTGTAGTCAGGGCAAGTGGGGGCGAGGCGCAGTCCCGCTGGTCTGATACTGGTGTGGTTCTGTCCCTAGTCTCGGAGGGGGGCTTGAAGCTAAGAATATTTTATTTTTAGCAATTGCTACGGTATGCTGTTATCATAGAGGGAGCGGACCGTGAGTTGAGGAAATCGGAGGACGCGACCCACTTCTCCACAGACGGTCCCGCGCCTCGCCGCTATGACGGCGACACGGCCGCAGCTCGTGTGCGTGTCGCCGTCTTTGTCCGGAGTGAAAAGTCCAACGCGCTCGTCGGTGACGGTGTCCTCCAACCTGCGCCGCGCTCGGCGAACCTCGACAGCGCCTTCGATGGCATGCAGCTCTTTGCGTCAGAAGCCTGGAGAGCAGCTCCTCGGCTGCTCACACGCTCTGCACAGTTGACACAGCCTACTGTGCGGCTACCACAGCTGTGACAGCGATGGGCTCGCCCTCACTGGCCCTCAGTCACTTGTGCTGCGGCTTGTGTGAGCGACACTGCTCGGCGACTGCCGGCACACTGTGAGACCATGGGTGTGAGGTAAAACCACGCTACCAGCGCTTGGTCACATCGGCCCCGAGGTCAGATCCTTCTACTCTGTTAGTGACAAGACTTGTCTACTGGCTGGAGCCGAGCAGGAGGGCCCGGCGCACAACCCCTGGTCAACTCACGGTCCACACCCCGTACTATGCTTGAGATTCATGGGGGTTTGCCGACACAAATGAGAGAGAGAGAGAGAGAGAGAGAGAGGAAAAACCGCCAATGGCCGTTATCCGTTAGTGCGGACGTCGCCGCGCGGCTCGCCTCTGCCGCGGCGGCTGCTGCGCGCACGCGGCGGCGCCGCTCTCTCGCGAGACGGCTGGCGACGCGGCTCGCCGCCGACGTACGGTGCGCTCGTCCGACGGTCCGCAGCGTGGCGTGCGCGACGCTGAGCGCCGCTCTGCGAGCGCCTCTGCGCCTGCACTGCATGTCTCTGTTGCTGCTGGTGGTGGTGGTGCTGCTGCTGCTGGTGCCGATGCTGCTGCTGGCGCGGCGCGGCTGTGCGACTGGGCTCGACGCGCGCGTCGCGAGCGTCTGACGCGGCGGGCGGCGTCGGGCAGGTGCGCTTCTCTCTCGGGTGGTGGTGGTGGTGCTGCTGCTGCTGCTGGTGGTGCAGATGCTGCTGCTGGTGCGGCGCGGCTCTCCGACGCGACTCGATGCGCGCGTCGCGGCTATCTGACGCGGCGGGCGGCGTCGCGGGCGGCAGCGGTGGCGGCTCGCGGGTGGAGGTGGAGGCTGGAGGCTGTGGTGGACCTTTTGACTACTTCCTGGAGACGTTGAGGCGGCGGTGGCTAGGGGACCGTCGCGGGGACCACTCAGCCCGGAGGGCGCGGTGGGCAGATCCGGATGGCTTCACCTCTGGGTCGAGCAGCTCAACCCTCTGGGGAGTGAGTCGCCGACGCCGGTGTCTTGACACCCAACACTCTACCTTAAGCTCCTGAGGGGCGCGTGGTTGTAACCACGTAGTAGGACTACAGCCCACCACAGACACCCTCCCCCACTCCTCACGTGTGTTCACACCCTCACCCTCTCCTCTCTCCTCTCTCTCTCTCTGTCTCTCCTCTCTCTCCTCTTGTCTGTGCTGTCTGCCTGACTCAGGCACTCAATCTGCCGATGCGTGATTGTGTGTGGGCTGCTCCGAGGGGGCCCTCTGTGCGATCCGACGGGTAGGGGGGCTGTGCCCGGGCGGTGTCCGGTGTGGAGTCCCCTTCTGATCCCGCCTGGGATGTTGGGTGTGAGGTTGTGGCGGCTTCGATCCCAAGGGGGGGAGCTGATCCCACTCAATAACCAACTCTCAGGGGCAGTAGGTGGGCGAGCTTCAGGCACGCTCATCTCGATCGTCAAGACGTTGCTACGCGCGGTCTTCCGCGGGGGGAGCTGCGTCGACGGGTGCGGGACCGCGGCGCAGCCAGTGCCGCGGCGAGGCCTCCGGCTGTTTGCGGCGGGCGGCTTGCTGCTCGCTGCGATGGCGAAAAACTCGTCTCGCCACACGCCAAGGGCTTATGCTCTGGCGAGACGTGAGGCGCATGCGCCCAGGAGGGGAGGGGGCATGTGTAACGACACTGCTAGAGATGCCTTTCGGGGCCCAGAGATAAAACTTCTGTGATGCCATGCGTGACCTAGTAGTGTCCCCAGCTATGGGCGTGTCCACGTTGGAGCCAGGTGTGGTGTGGGCGCGAGAATAGCTCCGCCGTTCATGGAGGCAACCGATGCGAGTCGACTGGTGTGTGTCGTCGTGGTTTCGTATCAAGAATTCTCTCTCTCCCGACACAAATGGTTGGGTACCGAGAACAAGCAATCGGATCGGCTAATCGGTAATCGCGCGTTGGGACCACTGGGTGTACGATGACTCAGGTCTTGACGGCTCCTTTTATCGCCATGCATGCAGAAGGACATGGGGACGGGGTTTTCCCGCCTCCCCGCCCCTCCCGCCGCCCTTGCCCCCCGCCTCCCGGGAGTCCTGACGGGGGGTGTGCCTCAAAAAAGCCTTAATGCCCCCCCCCCCCCCCCCCCCGCTCGATGCCAATTGCGACTGAGTCTAAGAGATGCCAAAGTTGTGTGCGCAGTGGATACGCAGTGGATAGTGTGTTGTGGTCGATGTCCGTCTCGAGAAAGGCCTCGAAAAGTGCCCTCGAGCAGAGCGACTGTCACGCATCCTTTGCGATGCGCGTGCTATCGATGCTGGCCTCGTCGCCAGCCTCGCCGCTTCCGACGACCTGCCAGTCCTGGGAGGCGTCCACGCTGGCCGGCATCCGCTCGCTTGAGTGCCGCACCACTGCCGTGCCTCCGATGTCGGCGAACGACGTGATGGTCAGTGTGAAGGCTGTCGGCTTGAACTTCGCCGACATCTTCTGCGTGCTCGGCGTATACGAGGCGGCCAACAAGATGCTGAGCGACGGCAGCCCGCCCAACTCGGGCGGCACGAGCCAGGCCGCTGGCTCCTTCTGCCCGGGTCTCGAGTTTGCTGGTGAGGCTGTCGCTGTCGGCGCGGCGGTCAAGGACATCCGAGTGGGCGAGCGCGTGTATGGCTTCACGCGCTTCGGCGCATACCGCACCGTCGTCGTGCAGGAGGCCGTCTATCTCCGCCCCGTGCCGGAGGGCTGGAGCTACGCCGAGGCGGCGGCACTCGTGGCCCAGGGGCTCACGGCGTGGCACGGGCTGGTCGAGCTGGGCAACATCAAGAGGGGCGCGCGCGTGCTGGTGCACTCGGCGGCGGGCGGCGTGGGCTGCGCCGCCATGCAGATTTGCACCTCGCTCGGCTGTCAGTCGACTGGCGTCGTCGGCTCCGAGGGCAAGGCCGCGTGGCTGCAGGAGCGCTTTCCGCAGGCGGAGGTGCTGGTGCGCGGGCCGCAGCGCGGCTACGCGGAGCAATTGCGGGCGCTTCCTGGCGGCGGGCGCTTCGACTGCGTCCTCGACAGCCTGGGCGGCAAGTACTTTAGTGCCGCGCTGGACAGTCTCGATCCGATGGGCCGCATCATCCACTTCGGCGCGACGTACTCCTACGGCGGCGCCAAGGATGGCTGGTGCGGGCTGCGCAAGTGGCTCACGTTCGTGCCGGGCTACCTGAGCCGACCGATGGTCGACCCGGGCCAGCTGACGCCCACCAACCGCGCCGTCTTCGGCTTCAACATGATCTGGCTCACCGACCGCGTTGACTTGCTCACGGCCGAGCTGGACGCCATGCTGGGCAAGGGCGGCATGACGAACCGCGCGCCCGCCGTCGGCGCCACCTACCCGTTTGAGCAGCTGCCCGAGGCGCTCGAGTACCTCAACAGCGGCGCGAGCGTCGGCAAGGTAGTGGTCGAAGTCGGCGAGGAATCCAAGCAGGCAAAAGCTCCTTTCTCGCCGTGACGCCACGCGCTCTTTACGAGAGAAGCTGGGCAACTTAGTCATCGTGACTTACGTCTTTCACCACGTGCCGCCCATCTTCGATGCGTTGAGGCGGTGCCGCCGGGCGGGCCGACGTGGACGGTGCACAAGTCGCAGCTGCTCAACGTCGTCACGCCGGCGTCTCGGCGGTGGGCGGCGCGCAGCTAGGCGCGCAGCAGCTACTCCTTGTCCAGGGCCGCGCCGACCGCGCATCCAGCGCCGGGTCGTACCGCTCCACCGAGCTGAGGATGCCGTCGCCGTCGCGGAAACCCCCACAGCGTTCTGCGCGGAGACCCTGTGCGCGAGCGTCGGCTTGGCGGCCGAGGTGGCCGCGCTGCACCACAGGCCGTCCCTCTCCCTCGCGTGCTGCGGCGGCTCTTCCCTGCGGCGTTCTCTGCTGATGCGCCCGGCGAGCTGTGCTCGTGGCTCTGCGTGTCCCCCGCCGAGTTCGACGAGCTCATGGTGTCACCGAGCGTGGCAGCGTCCGACGGGTGAGATGTGGAATGGTGATGTACCCAAAAAACTTTTCAGACTGTTTTCAGATGCTTTTGGAAGTGGGTTCATGTCGGGTCGCAGAAAATGGGAAGTGAACACTGCGGCAACCGCGTCTACATATACAGCTCGCTCTCTCTCTATAGACACATACATGCTGTACACTTTTAAGCGAGGCCGAGGGTGTACGGCTTTACACACATGACTCACACTCTACTCCACACTGACACACAAGTTGACACACGATGTCACGTAGAGTAATTCCTAATAGCAACTTCTCGTCTTCTGAAGAAGAGAGAATAACCTCGCAGGGCCGCGCGTCTTCTCGAAATCGATCGTTCGCACGCTCAGAGGCCTCGCTCGCCCGTCGCGCGCGCTCGGCGGCGCAGTCTGATCGTACTCGACTCACACTCTCTCCTCTCTCGCCTCGCTCGGTGGCTCCTCTTGCCTCGCTCGCCGCTCCCGTCTCTCGGCCGCCGCGAGACAATTCCCACTGTGCACACACACACTCCATCTCGCATCTAGCTAGCGAGCCTCCCCTAGTGCATCCAGCCTTCTCGGGGCGTCTGCGAGTCGGGGGAGAGGAGGGTGCCCTCCTTGTGCTCGTCCTTGAGCAGCGCCGTCTTGAGCGGCGCGACGCTCGCGGTGGTGGTGGGGGCGCGCTCGAAGGACGCGCGGCCCGCCTTGTCCTGCCAGCAGGGCAGCGGCTGCGTGCTGAGGAAGAGGACGAGCCCAATCATCAGCAGGTTGACGGGCGCAAAGGAGTAGAGCCCCCAGTCGGCAAAGGTGTCCGTCGACATGGACACGAGCGAGGGTTGCATCACGCCCGTCGCGGCGACGCACATGTTGGCGATCCCCGCCAGCATGCCAAACACGCTCGGCGAGGAGAAGCGTTGCAGCATCTCGAAGAAGGTCGAGTAGACAAACTGGCGGCCGATGGCGACGCAGCACATCGCGCCGAGCAGGCACGGGCGCGAGTTCGGCACGATGAAGAGCACGCTGTTGATCACGCCCGCCGCGTTGACGAGGGCGAAGCTGACCGTCGGCGGCGTGTTGTCGAGGAGGTAGCCAATCAGCGGCATGCCTAAGGGGCGTGTCTCCGTGTCTCGCCCACCGGGCCTTCCCACACCGGCCGGCGCGGCGCGCGCCGACAAAGCCAAAGGGCAGCAGCGCGCCAAAAATGGTGACAAAGTCGTCCACCGCGGCCGCGTCGAAGCCGAGGGAGCCGACCTGCTGCTGGAAGACGCCGACGACGTAGTTAAGCCGCATGATGTGGATCGACGCGAAGAGGAGGAGGTAGACGTACTGCCGCTTGCAGACGTACTCGCGGAGCGTCGCCTTTGCGGCTCCGCCGCCGGCGGTGGAGGCGGTATCCACCTCCGCAAAGGGGGCTGACGGCCAGAGCACCAGCCCGCTGAGCAGGATGAAGAGCACCGAGGCGGAGTACCACAGCCAGCAGGTGGAGAGGTCGACTGTGGCGGAGACGGCGCGGAAGCCAGCAAAGATGGCGGTGCCTGCGTCGAAGAGGGAGGTTGAGCCCGCCATGAGGGTGCCCGACATGGACGGGAAGAGGTTGGCCATGTGGAATGTCGCCATCTGGATGCCCGGCCCGCCGAACCCGATGAGGAAGAAGCCGACGTAGAGCAGCTGCATGCTGCCTCCGGTGGTGGAGTACATGCAGAGTGCGCCACTCAGCTGGACGAGCGAGCCGACCACGCAAGTGAAGCGCGGCCCGCGCGTGTCGAGCAGGTACCTGGGCGAGGGCGAGGGCGAGGGGCGGCGTCAGAATGAAGGCTGGCTGAGGGACGGTGGCAGCGGCGGTGCGGGCTGCCAGTCAAGTCTCGCCTGGCCAAGGTCTCGGGCAGGGAGCCACGGGCAGAGCTGCAGACTCTGACTTTTAGTTGGGGCGTGTCTCGCTGCCGCAGCTGGGCCGCGAGTGGCGGCGGTGTTGCTAGGGCATATGTCTGCGAGTCCACCCACCCAAAGGGCAGGTTGCTGGTGTAGGAGCCGACGGTGCCGAGGGTGAAGACGAAGGCAAAGACGCCCGGCTGGCCGCTACAATCGTCCCCGTCGCACCCCACGCCCTGCCCAGCGAGGATCTGCGCTAGCGACGTCCAGCCAAACACGACTCCAGCCGCCAGAAAGACGTGCGAGCCGGCGATAGCGAGGAGGAGGACGCGGTAGGCCGTCGAGGCAGGGAGCGGTGTGGTAGCGGCGGCGCTAACTAATGCACCGTCCGAGGAGAAGGCTCTGCTCAGTGGTGGAGTTCGCAAGTGGCTGGTGCGAGCCGCCGGCGAGGACATTCGGCACGGCGCCAAGTGGCTTTTGCGTGCCGTCGGCGAGGATATTCGGCACGGCGCGCCAAGGCCGAGAGGGCGTCCAGTATGGTCGACCCCGCCGAAGGCATGGAATTTCTCTTTTTCGCACGAGTGCGCGCAGTCCGGTGCCAGTGGAGGGAGTTTGGTTGAAGATTCTCTTTTTCGTTGTGTGAATAATGCGTGTGCGAGAGAGTTTTTGTACAATTCTCTTTTTCAGCTTCTTCCCTTTCCGATTTTTATTCGACTTGTGTCCCGGGCGGAACGCCGCAGTCAGTGGCGATGCGGTGCTGGCCGACAATGCGAGGGCGCTTGTTGACGGCCTTGTCGCTCTGAATGGCCTGCAGGGCAACCATGTCTCCATGTGCTACAACTGTACATTCAGCCGTACCCCACAACCGGCCACGCGAACGTCACGGCAGACTCGATCCCTGATCAGGCATTCCTGGGCTGCGGTTCGCTTAGGTGCTGCTGCACGAGCACATCGCACACTCACATTCCATCCATCCATCACGCTCTTTCTTATCACCTCCCTCGCGCAACCACTGCGTCCGCTGCGTCACCGCAGGTCAGTCACATTCGTCGAGGGCGTCCGGCTGATTGGGGATGAGGCCTTTCGTGGCTCCCAGCTCACAGAGGTCACCCTCCCCCCTTCGCTGGAGCGCGTGGGTTGATACGCCTTTGCCTTCTCGCGTGTCGCGACGACCACGTTTGTGCCTGTGGCGCGAGCGGGGCATACGTGGGCGCGTATGCCTTCAGACAGTGCCCCGTGGCACGTACCTCCGTCTCGGTCCTTGCCTCTATGCCGCCGTCAATAGCAGGTCGATTCAGCCGCCTAGCCTTCTACTACGAGGATGGGCGGCGACGGTCGCGCGCGGCGGGTGGGGCGGCGAAATAGAGGTCGTGCTAGAATAGAACCACCGCTCTTTATACTCGTTTATTCACGAGGCGACCCCAGGGAACCGTGGGCCTACTAGTTCCCTAGTGGCGTGCTGTGAACAAACAGCGAAGAAGACGCTTGGAATAGAACATGTCCGGCAGAGATCTGCACACTTGGAGCACTTGGAGTGCAGTTATCAACCTCACATCCAGGGCCGGGGAGCTAAGAAGCGAAAGAGAGGCGCACCACCTTTTTCAGTGTATGTGTTTTTTAGGTACCAGAGTGAACCCTCTGTTAGGACCCAACAGCGAGTAAGGTGCGGCACCTCGTGGCCTCTGATGCTGTTCAGCAGGCAGCGGAGCTCGGACTTTCGTTCCGGTCTGCGCTCTTCACAGACCTTGTTATATTGAGAAGAAAATACGTCCTATGGCGCTTTGCGAGTTCACACGGCGCCTCAAAACCACGTTCCTGCTTCAAATCGCATCCCATCGTCGTATTCCCGAAGCGCCGCATTCCCACCCGAGGGCTTTTCGACGCTTGCCCTCACCACCACCACCAATGCAGTTCATACGGCGACAGAATTCTGCCACGGACGCTACCGCCGACGCCTGGCCCGTGGACGAATTCATCGAAGAAGCGTGCATGGCGGCGAGCGGAGAGCGACCGCCGATGAGTGAGGCCTTAAAGCTGCTCGCGCGCTGGCAGGCGGCAAAGCCGCGGATAGATGAGATCCTCGCAGCAGTGACGCGACACTCCATTGCGTCCGGCGTGGCGGAGACGCACCTAGACAACTGGCGGAGTGCCGTCCGTGATGTCGGCGACTTGGCGCTTGCGCTGGTCAGCAAGCCCGACTGGGACCCGCATGCGGGCGAGGAATTGCGCGCCAAGATTGGCTACGTCACCGAGACGCTCGAACGCTCGCTCCGGACGCTGCTGGCGCGGAAGGTCCCCCCGAACCGCAGGCTCCTCATGATCGTGCCCGGCCAAGCCGCCGCGTCGGCGGCAGCTGCATTGGAGGAGGAGACGGCCGCGTCGGCGGCAGCTGCGTTGGAGGAGGAGACGGCCGAGGCCGAGCCGCCGTGCGTGGTCGTGCGCGCGCCGATGCCGCGGCACGCGGTGCCGCAGCCAAACCTGCCCTGCAGCCTCGGCCTCCCACCGTGCAGGCTGCTAGCCGCCTCCCCGCGTGCCCCGCGTGCCCCCGCCGCGCCGGCCGCCACCGCGACTGCCACCGCGCCTGATCCGGCCACAAACGCGGTCGCCGCCGCAGCCGCCGCAGCCGCCGCAGCCGCCGCAGCCACCGCTACCGCCGCCGCTCCCGCCACCACGATTGCCGCCGCGCCCGCCACCGCCACCGCTACCGCCGCCGCGCCCGCCACCGCTACCGCCGCCGCGCCCGCCACCGCCACCGCTACCGCCGCCGCGCCCGCCACCGCTACCGCCGCCGCGCCCGCCACCGCCACCGCTACCGCCGCCGCGCCCGCCCGCCGCGCTCGCTCGCCGGCAGAGGCGGCAAAGTTGTTGTGTTCTCTCTCCGTGGCAGAGCCCCTCCAGCCGCCCGACAAGAGGCCTCGCCATCTCTCGCCCGATGGCGGCGATGGGGCCGTCACCGGCGCCGGCGTGTAGCGACGCCGTCGGCACCGCCATAGCCGCATCATCGCTGGCGCGCCGCCGCGCCGCCGCCGCCGCCCTTGCCGCACAACCGCCAGACGCCCCGCTTATGGCGATCGCGATCCCGCCGGCTCCGGCCCTGGCGGCGAGTGCAAGCCCCCCACAGTTCCATAACCATATCCACCCCCCTCCCCGCGCGGGCCAGCCGCCGTGGCTCCAGCTCCCTACGCTGCGCCAACCAGGCTCTCTCCATGCAGGTGTGTGTACTTTTTGCTTGGGGCGACACTCATGCTGAAATTCTGGAAAAACCTGAGCGGCCCCTGCGGTGCCCCTACCTACCTACCTACCTACCTACCCTACTTATGGGAAACTAAAAAAGAAATCACCGGATGGGTGAAGGTGGGGTACTATACCAACTGAAGTGATGGTTGGTGGTACTCTCCTGCAACCACAGTCCTTCCTGTGACATGGCAGGCCACTCTCAGGCCCTACAAAGCATCAGATCACCCACTTGGGGAGGGTTGACATCGTGATTTCCGCGGAAAATTTCTTTTTCTGCTGTGAAAATTCCGGCGTGAAGAGAGGGAAAAACCCGACGGGAGGGCCCAGACCTACCCTACCTACCCCGGCATGAGTGTCGCCCCAAGCAAAAAGTACACACACCTGCTCCATGGGACCCATGCCAACCAGGCTCGCTCCAATAGGTTTACGTTAGACGAGAAGGGACGCGGCGCGAGATGTATCACTCCTCTCCGCTCTACACCCTGTAGTGCCCCATGAACCATGCCATCTGCTCTCTCCAACGCAGGGGGTTTCTAAGTAAGGTACTAGTAAGGTAAGGACTAAAGTAAGGTAAATAGAAAATACGTCTCCACAGACCACACACACAAAGTGGTGGGGCAAGGGGGGGGCGACCCTCGCATCTCCACGCCCGGACACGGGCAGGAGCCCCACGGGCACGGCATTCAAAGTGCAAGCACCGGCCCGGTGCCGTGGGTGAGCACCTGTGCTTGTGCGTCTTGGGTCCGGGGTTGGTGTTTTTGTGCGTGAGCAACCTGCACCCCACTCCCTCCCTCCTGTTTATCAACGGGCTGTACGACCACTTCGGGTGAACCGAATGTGTGATAGTGTGCCCCAACCACTTTTTTTGTGTGTGGAGAAGTGGTGGAGGGCTGTCGAAAAAAAAGGGATTACCGGGCGCATTGAGCTAGGAGAGAGCAGATGCGCCGCGAGACACGCGTTAAAGCCGTGCGACAGACGCAAGAGGCTAAGGCGGAACCTTTCGACGTGGGTGCCCATCGACCGACGCCAACTCCTCAGCACTCTCATCGTATGCGCACGCGCCCCTGACCCCGCGCCAGCTCCGCGCATCAGCGCCCGACGGTCGTCTCGCCTCTCGGCCCCATGCTCTTCCACAGCTCAACCTGGGTGGCAAGAGGGAAGGGGTCAGCGCACTTTGAGACACCACGGCCCCATGGCTCCCCTGTGTTGCCTGTTCTGGGGTTGGCTTCCCTTTGATGTTGAGCTCCTCGCACAAAGATTCGAGATAGCCTTCCGCGTCGCCTAGTAGAGATAGGGAGGCTCCCTCAAAGACCGGCTGCGAGTGAAAACGGCTCCGGCGCCTGCACCTTCCGATGCGCCACCCCCGAGAATGTCCGGAGCGACGGGGCGGGCCATGCGGCTGATCCTCTCCATGAGCACCTCCCTCTCGGGGTCATCCTCTTGCCCGCTGCGCTGCCTCCGCGGGTCCGGTCCCACCACCCACTTCGGCGCACCCTTCTCGAGCGGCGGGGTCGCGAGCGATTGCAGCGTGCGCGGCTCGGCAGAGGCGGCGCGCAGCGAGCCTCCTCCGTCGCTGGAGCGGGAGGAGGATCCGCCGCTGTCGGAGGAAGTGCGTCGGCCGAGCGCATTGGCGGCGGGCGCGTCTGCCATCCGCACGCCCTGGGAAAAGGAGCGAGGCGTCCGCTTGACCACCGGCACTGCCGTCGCCGCTGATGGGGACAGCGGCGCGGCGGTTGGAGGCTGAAACTCGTCGCCGATGGCATGGGTAGCAACCTCAGTGGGGATGAAGTCGGGAAGCGGCCGGCGTGCGCCACCTGTGGATAACTCCCGGCGCAGCGGCTGCGTCTCCGACGAGAGGCTAAAGTCGGACTCGCTCGAGCTGGGCCCCTCGTCGTTGTTGTCCTTTGCTGACTCGGGGGGCGGCGTCACCCTGCGCTTGAACGGGTTGAGCGGCTCCGAGTGCATCGCTTCAAATTCTGAGATGCGGCTTTTAACCACCGACGCCTCCGCCGGGCTCAGGACTGGCTCCTCAGCGGCGGCCGCGTCCTCTTCCGGGACGGCTGGGGGCGCCTTCAGGAACTTGGGGAGGAGAATCGCAACGGTGGGGAACGCGAGCGCGGCCCCGAGGCCAATGAGCACTGCGCCAAAGCTGAGCACAGCCTCGCGCAAAGCGCGGGGCGACATGAGGAGCGAGGGCGAGAGCCGCATTGCTTTGATCTTTGGCCAAACACTTGTGGTTGTGGCTTCATAGTGGCTTGTGCCGAAACGGCGCTCACAACCCCAACTTATTTTTTTGAGCTTAGCCTTCGATGTTATGAAACTTATTTTTTCCTTTCGGCTCTCGCGAAAGGGGATTCGATGGAGAGGCAGCGCCAGAGAGCACAAAGTGGACTGGTGTGGAGCGAGACACAGGTAGACATGCAGTTGCCGTAGGCGCAGAGACAGGTAATAAAATAGACAATCAACAAATCTCCGCCCGTTCAGGAGAGCTGGTCGAGGAACTCGTCCAGGTCGTATTCCTCCTCGTACTCCTCCGAGCCCCAGAGGCTGCCCACGTTGCTCAGCAGCGACTGCAGCCCGCCAGAGCCGCCGTCGCCGCCGCCGCCGCCGCCTTCGCCACCGCCAGATGCCTGCGCAGAGGGCGCCGCTCCGGCGGCTGTCGTCGCCGGCGACAGCTCGAAGAGGTCGAGCACCTGCGTGGGAGGGGAGGAGCGGTCACATCCGCCGGGGTGCGGCCGAGGTGTAGCCGAGGTGCAGCCGAGGTGCAGCCGAGGTGCAGCCGAGGTGTAGCCGAGGTGCGGCCGAGGTGCGGCGGCTGAGGTGCAGCCGAGGTGTCAGCCGAGGTGTAGCCGAGGGTGTAGCCTAGGTGCAGCCGAGGTGTAGCCGAGGTGTAGCCGAGGTGCGGCCGAGGTGTAGCCCCAGTGTGCTCGCGCGGCGCCTCTTCGGTCGACATGGATTGCAGCGACGCGTTCTCCGCGTTGACGACTGCTCCCGCGACATGCGTCTTGAAGCGCTGTAGCGACATGATCTTCTCCTCGAGAGTGCCTCTGGAGATGAGGCGGAAGACCGACACCGACCTCTTCTGGCCGAGCCGGTGGGCACGGTCCATCGCCTGCAGGTCACGGAGTCAGGAAGTGTCTAGGAAGTGTCTAGGCACGGTCCATCGCCTGCAGGTCACGGAGTCAGGAAGTGTCTAGGAAGTGTCTAGGCACGGTTCATCGCCTGCGTGTCCATGCTCAATGAGTAGTCATCAACTACTCATTGGTGGCTGGTTCCTGACCGGTCCGGCGCTTGCATGTGTCGCATCGGGCTCCAGTCGCTGGACAGTGAATAACTAATGAACGACTCCTCATTCGCCATCGCCTGCATGTCGCGCATCGGGTTCCAGTCGTGGTCGAGGAAGATGACTGTGTCTGCGGAGGTGAGGTTGAGGCCTATTCTCGTATCGTATACTCTATCATTACATGATGCAGTCGAGGACCGTGTCTTGCGGAGGTGAGGCTGAGGCCGAGCCCGCCGACCGCGGTGGTGAGCAGCATCAGGTCGATGGACGGGTCCGAGTTGAACCGCTCCACCAGCTCGCCCCGCCGCGCCACAGCCACCCTCCCGTCCAGCCGCACGTGGCTCACCGACGGCAGGTGCGCGGCCAGCAAGTCCGCCTCGACGCGGTCGAGCATCGACGCCGACTGCGCAAACACGAGAGCACGGTGCGCTGCGAGTGCCGCCGCGCCGCCGCCGCCGCCCGCCAGCGCGGCGTCGTCCGCTGCTGCGGCGGCGGACTCGGCGGCGGACGCGTCGGCGGCGCCGATGCCGCACTCCGCGAGCAGCTGCCGCAGCGCCTGGAAGCAGGAGGAGAGGGGGTGGCCGGAGAGACGGAGAGAGAGAGCGTGTGTCTACTCGTCTACCCTCCGGCGCAGCGCCTCCAGTTTCGGGGCGACGGCGAGGGAGTGGAGGGTGCAGCCTTCCGCCGCGGCGGCCGCCTCGCACTGCGCCCGCAGCGGGTGCGCCTCGTCGAGCAATTGAAGTCCGTCTTTAACTAAGTAAGGTACTGAATTCAGTCTTCAAGTCAGTAAGATGCGGGTGCGCCTCGTCGAGCACAAGAAGAGGATGGTTGCACACCTGGCACGGGCAGTGCGCCTGTTACCCTTCTTTCTCTTCTTCTTCTTCTTCTTCTTCTTGTTATCAGGAGAGCTGCGCGCCTTGCGCAAATACTGCAACGCGTGCAGCACCGTCGCCGCGCCCTCGCCGCCGCCGCCGCCCTCGCTACTTCCGTCACCGCCGCCTCCACCGCCACCGTCGCCGCTCCCCCCTCCCCCTCCTTTGCCACATCCTCCTCGTCTCCTGCCGCCTCCCTCGGCCGCCTTGTCGATAGCTCGGCGGACGCCGCCCTGCGCAGGCGACTGTGCAAACGCGCAGTAGAGCAGCTGCTGCACCTATTGGGAAGGGTCCGAGAAGGCTCGTGGAAGGGGCTAGGTGCCCAGCAAAGGCGGAGTAGAGCAGCTGCTGCACCGCCGAGAGCGGCACGAGCCGGTCGGCGATCACCTTCGGCGGCAGATCTTGCAGCACCGCCGCCTTTGTGCGCCGGAGGCAGAAGGGGAGCACCTGGCGGTGCAGCCGCTTCAGCGCCGCTTCACCGGCGGCGTGCGCCTACGGCGACACTTCCAGAGGGGCTCCGAAGGTCCCCGGAAGGCTGCCCAGAAGCTTCGCCCCGCGGCGTGTGTGCGCCACGTCCCCGGCAGAGGCGCCGTACGACGCGGAGATTGGCTTGACGTACTGCGAGTGGAAGTGGCGCCGCTGCCCGAGGTAGCCCGGCATCAGAAAGTCGAAGAGGGACCACAGCTCCAGCGCGTCGTTCTGGATTGGCGTGCCCGAGAGGAGGAGCCGGTGCGAGCCTCGAAGCGACTTTGCGGCGCGCGCCACCTTGGAGCTCCCGTGCTCGTGATCTCGTGTGATCTCGTGTGATCTCGTGTGATCTCGTGTGATCTCGTGTGATCTCGTGTGATCTCGTGTGATCTCGTGTGATCTCGTGTGACCTCGTGTGATCTCGTGTGACCTCGTGTGACCTCGTGTGATCTCGTGTGATCTCGTGTGATCGCCACCTTGGAGCTCCCGTTCTTGATGACGTGCCCCTCGTCAAGTACAAGGTAGTCCCAGCTCACCGCGGACAGGGGGGCGGCGTCGGAGCGCAGCGTCTCGTACGACACGACCACCAGCGCCGCCGCCGGCAGCCGCGGCCGCATCGCCGCGCGCTTGGCGGGCGGCCCCGCGTACTCGATCGCCTCGAGCAGCTCTCCCACGTACCTGCGGGGGAGGGCTCCGTGGAAACTTCCGGGAAGGGTCCGGGAAGGGTCCGAGACGCGGCCGCCTCGAGCAGCGCTCTCCCGCGCGCCTCGCCGCCTCGCCCCTCCAGTGCGAGACCCTTCCTAGGCCCTTCCTAGACCCTTCCTAGGCCCTTCCTAGGCCCTTCCTAGACCCTTCCTAGACCCCTCCTAGACCCCTCCTAGCGCGCCTCGCCGCCTCGCCCCTCCAGTGCGAGACGAGCGTGGCGGGGCAAACAACCAGCGAGGGGCGCGGCTGCGGCCTCTGGAGCTCCTCGTGGCGCGACGCGGCGAGGATGCACAGAGTCTGCAGCGTCTTTCCGAGCCCCATCTCGTCCGAGAGGACGCCTGCCGTGACGGAGGCGGTGATCTCGAGTGATCTCGAGTGATCTCGTGTGATCTCGTGTGATCTCGAGTGATCTCGGGAGATCTCGTGTGATCTCGTGTGATCTCGGGAGATCTCGAGTGATCTCGTGTGATCTCGAGTGATCTCGGGAGGACACCTGACACGACACGGCGCAGTCTAACGGACGATGCGGAGTAGCACGGGCCCGCATTGCGCGAGAGAGGACGCCGTGCAGCCCGTACTGCCGCAGGAAAGCCAGCCAGTCCACCCCCTCCTGCTGGGCACGGCACCACGTCACACTCGGGTAAAACCTCCTGTATGCTACGTGGACCGCGCCCCCTCCTGCTGGTACGGCCGCAGCTCGGCGTAGATGGGCACGGGCAGCTGGAACGGCGCCGGCTTGCGTCCCCCTATGACTCGAGTCCACTCCTTAGACTGCAGCGCCAGACCAGCCGGAAGGGAATCCGGGCTCGCTCGCGCCCAGCAGCGGCGCCACCAACGCGCGCGCCTCGCGCCGCGCGGCCGAGAGGCGTGGAGGCATGCCGGCCGGGTCGGGCGTGTCTGCCTGCGGGACGTGTCGTGGACGCGTGTCGTGGACGTGTCGTGGACGTGTGGCGTGGGCGCGTATCGTGGACGTGTACGTGTGTCGTGGGGACGTGTCGTGGACGTGTCGTGGGCGTGTCAGGGCGTGTCTGCCTCGAGCGGCAGCAGCGGCATCAGCGCGGCGAAAGCGGCGGCGGCCTCCGCACGCACCTCCTCCGCCTGCGAGGCGAGCGCGCGCACAAGAGGCGGCAGCACCAGCGCCGCGTACGGAAGCAGGCCCATCCCCATCGCCTCGACGGCAGACCGCACCGCCAGCGTGGCGCCGAGCTGCGACCGTGGCCGATCGTCCGCCGCGAGGGCGGGCAGCGCTGCGTCGCACAGCTCGCAGGCCGCGCGGCTCTGCAGCTCCGGTGCCGCGCAGAACGCGCCGACAGTGCGCGCGGCGAGAGCGCGCTCCGCCGCCGCCCCCGCGTCGTTGCCTTGCCCAAACGGGCCGAGGAGCGTCGCGAGGACGCGCGGGAAGAGCAGCAGCGCCTGGTCGGCGGCGGAGGAAGTATCTAGGAAGTGTCGACCGCGTGTTAGGAGGTGTCTAGGAAGAGCAGCAACGCCTGGTCGGCGGCGGAGGAAGTATCTAGGAAGTGTCGACCGCGTGTTAGGAGGTGTCTAGGAAGAGCAGCAGCGCCTGGTCGGCGGCGGAGGAAGTATCTAGGAAGTGTCTACCGCGTGTTAGGAGGTGTCTAGGAAGAGCAGCAGCGCCTGGTCGGCGGCGGAGGAGGCGAGGCGCGGCGCGAGCGCCTCGCAGAGCGCGAGCGAGCCTGCGGGGCGGGGACGTGTCGCGGACGTGTCACGGGACCTGTCACGGACGTGTGCAGGCGGCGAGCGAGCCTGCGACGCCAGCGCCGCTCGGTGCGCCGGCAGCCGTGCCGCCGCTCTTGGCGGCTCCGAGAGGCGCTGCCGCCTGGCAGGCAGAGAGCAGAGGTCGGGTTGCGATGACTCTGCGACTAGGTGCGAAGGGCTGGTACACCCGCCTGGCTCCAGAGAGCGGGCAGAGCGTCGAAGAGCTCGCCCCCGAACCTTTGGTACTGAATGAATCAATGATTAGTTGCCGGAGCTCAGTAATCAACTACCAGAGCTCGCCCCCGAACCGGGCGCAGCAGCTGCTCAGAGCGGTCCGCGCGCCCTCCCCCGCTCGCGCGACGAGTGCCGCCTGGCGGGGAGGGAGGATGGGCCCGTGGCGCGAGTGTCCAGACCTTCCGCTTCCCTTGCCCTTCCCCCTTCCCACCCCCCCCCCCCCCGCCCCCCCTTCCGAGCGGCAAGCGCCTCGTCCGCCGCCGCCGCCGCCTTTGCTGCTGTGTCGGGCGCAGCGGCGGGCTCGTCAGCCGTGGGCTCTGCCGGCTGCACGGCGGTGGCGACCGCGGCGGCGGCGGCGAGCGAGCAGAGCTTGGCGACGACCTTGTCGTTAGGGTGGCCGCTGTCCGACGGCGGGCGGGCGCGCAGCAACGAGAGGAGCGCGGCGAGGCTGCCGCCGGCGCGGGTCTGCGGCGTCGGAGCGCCCGTGCGGAGGATCATCATCAGGGCGTTGATGAGGGCGGAGACCTTTGGTGATCGAGCAATGGCCAATGAGGTCGTTAATGACTTCATGATGGTCGTTAATTAATTAATTAATTAATTAATGAGGTCGTTAATGACTTCATGATGGGGGCGGAGACCTTTGGCGGGAGTGAGCTAAAGTGAGGGACGATGGAGTGGTGGAGGAGGAGGACTCCTCACTAGCCATCGACCGGGCGGAGGCGGAGGCACCTTTGGCGGCAGAGAGCCGATGGCGATGACCGCCTCTGCCGCAGCGGCGCGCAGCTCGATCAGCAGCTCCGCTCGGCGCCGCCGCACAGCCGCCGCCGCGGTCACAACCGCCCCGCGGCTCTCGTGGCAGCGCAGCCGCGAGGCGGCGTTTCGAGGCACGCGCAGCGCCGCGTCCCACGCCGAGAAGACGCCGCCCGCCAGCGCCTCGGCGCCTTCCACACTGAGCGGCGGAGGGCCATCGCCCGCCGCCGTGCCAGGTGGGCCTGCGGCGGCGCCTGCGCTGGCTGTCGGCCACGAGTCGAGCAGGTCCGCCCGCCGAGCGCCAGCCTGTGCAAGAGTCGTGCCCGGCATGAAGAGCAAGGGTGGGGCAGGGCAGGACGGACCGCCGAGCGCCCGCCCTCTCAAACGCGGCCAGCAAGCCGGACGCCTCGGCCTGCAGAGGGTGTGACGGGGTGTGTGATGGGGTGTGTGATAGGGTGTGTGATGGGGTGTGACGGGGTGTGTGATGGGGTGTGTGATGGGGTGTGTGACGGGGTGTGACGGGGTGTGTGATGGGGTGTGTGCGGGCGGTGATGGGCGGTGTGATGGGGTGTGGCCTGCAGCGTGCGGAGCGGCGCAGAGAGCTCCGCCGCGACGGCGCAGAAGGCCTCTGCGCCACCCAGCACGCCGCTCACCGCCTCGAGGAGCTCATGCGGCCCGCCGCCACCTCCGCCCACAAGCCGGCCTCCCTCGCCACCCTCCCGCCCTCCCTCCCGCCCGGCCGCCGCCGCCCACTCCGACGTCACCCACGCCGCAGCCACGCGCGCCGCCACCGAGGGACCGCCAAGCGACTCGCGCAGCGCCGTCGCCCAACCCGCCCCGCCCCGCCCCGCCCCGCCCCCTCCCTCGCCTCGCCCGCCTCCCTCGCACGCAGCCGCGAGAAGGCCGAGGGCGGCGGCGGCGCGTGCGCGCGACTCGGCCGTGGCGGCGGCGTCCTCTGCGGCGACGCCCCCTCCCCCCCCCCCGCCGCCCTCGGGCGAGAAGACGAGGGAGGCGTGCGGCCGCACGGAGCCGGGGGTGGCCAGCAGGTCGAGCCAGCTGGAGCGGTGGGCGGTGGACGCACCTCGGAGCACCGCGGGCGTAGACGCAGCCAACAGTGCTCGCCACGCGCGCCCCGCCGCCGCGTGCGCCTTTGGGGCCGCATCGAGCAGCAGCGCCTGCTCGCAAACCCCCCCCTCTCCCCCGTCTCCGCGCGCGTCCTCTCTTTCTCCAACGCCGTGACGAGGGAACGCGCCTGAAGCAGCAGCCGCAGCGCCGTAGGTAGGAGTGGAGCTAGCCAACCCGCCGCCGCGCCGCCGCCGCTGCCGCCGCCGCCGCCGCCGCCGCCGGCCTCGGCTGCGCTCCTGGCGGCGGCGGCGGCGAGGCGCTCGAGCGTCGCCATGGCCGCCGCGCGCACGTCAGCGGCGGGGTGGCGGTGCATGAAGGGCCAGAGGCGCGGGACGACGAGAGAAAAGACGGAGACGCCGCGGCGGAGGCCGGGGGGCGGCCCGCCCGCCTCCGCCGGCAGGGGCGAGAGGGCGGCGGCCTCGCCCCTGGCCTCGGCGGCGGCGAGGGTGGCGTAGGGCAAGCTGGCGCACAGGCTTGCGAGCAAGCCCATCACCTGCTCATGAAGAAGTGGTTCTCAACCACGGGCAACCAGACTCGTGAATGGCTTGCGAGATTACCCGAGATTCCCCGAGATTCCCCGAGAGTCCCCGAGAGTACCCGAGAGGACCCGAGAGGACCCGAGAGGACCCGAGAGGACCCGAGATTCCCCGAGAGTACCCGAGAGTACCCGAGAGTACCCGAGAGTACCCGAGAGTACCCGAGAGTACCCGAGAGTACCCGAGATCACCCGAGAGGACCCGAGAGGACCCGAGATTCCCCGAGAGGACCCGAGAGGACCCGAGAGGACCCGAGAGGACCCGCGAGGACAACTATAATCGCGGGTGGCTAGCGAGCAGGCCCGTCACCTGTGAGTGTGGCGACAGCGGAGGAGCTCACGGGGCGGCGGTCAGGGCGAGCCCTTGCGAGGGGTTGGCCATGCGCCGAGGCGGTGGAGGCGGTGAGGTCGTCGACCGACGCCAGCGCATCCCACAGCGCGCCGAGCAGCCGAGGGAGGTGGGACGGGACGAGCGCCTGTGCCGTCGATCAGCGTGCCGTCGGTCAGCGTGCCGTTGAGGGGGGCGAACCAAGCAATGGCTAGCGGGGCGGGGCGGCGGGACGAGCTCCTCGAGATGCGAGGCCACACCGAGCAGCGACGCGGCCGCGCCTGCGAGGGCAGGGTGGCCACCTCACAGTTCTCCAACGGCCTCCACCAAGCTGAGCCCTGGCTGTCGGGGGCTGTCCGGTGCTGTCGATCTGTCGGGCTGTCGGGCTGTCCGGTGCTGTTGATCTGTCGGGCTGTCGGGCAGCTGTCGGGCAGCTGTCAGGTGCCTCTGTCAGACCAGCTGTCAGGTGCTGTCAGTGCTGTCGGGTGCTGTCGGGGCGGCGAGCAATGCTCAACGGCAGGCAAAGGCAGGGTCTGGGACAGTGCGCAGGGGCAGGGGCGGCGAGAGGCGGCAGCACCCGCGCGCACGTCGTCGTCGTCGTCTGCGAGCGCCTGCAAGAGCAGGTTCCGAGAGGCTTCGGGCAAACACGCGCTGGCGACGCCGTCGCCGCGCCGCAGCGCAGCCGCCTGCAGCAGCGACGGCGTCACCAGCGGCAGGAGCTCCGGCAGCAGGTCCTCGCGCGCGGGCAGGCAGTACCTGTGAAGGGTCCTAGAAGGGTCCTAGAAGGGTCCTAGAAGGTTCCTAGAAGGTTCCTCGCGCGCGGGCAGGCAGTACCTGGCACGTGCATGACACGTCCACGGCGAGGCAGCTTGCGGTGGCGCGGCAAGAAAGAAAGAGAGAGAGAGAGAGAGACACGGAGAGACAGAGAGATACATAGAGATAGAGATAGACAGAGACAGAGAGAC